TCTTCTGGCATTTTGTCTGGCATACTATCTGTCATTCTATCTGGCATATCTTCTGGCATTCTATCTGGCATATTTTCTGGCATTCTATCTGGCAATGTATCTAGCAATCTATCTGACACACTATTTGGCATACTATCTGGCATATCTTCTTGCAGCATTCTATCTGGCAATCTACCTGGCATTCTATGTGGCATTTTATCTGGCAAACTATCTGGTTGAGGTCCAGCGGTGCACAGGGGTGCACACTGCGATCGGATCCTTGCGGCTGAGGTTCAGGGATGCACACTGCGATCGGAGTGCGAGCGGATCCTTGCGGTTGAGGTCCAGGGGTGCACACTGCGATCGGATCCTTGCGGTTGAGGTCCAGGGGTGCACACTGCGATCGGATCCTTGCGGTTCAGGTCCAGGGGTGCACACTGCGATCCGGAGCTTGCCAGACAAGATCGGCGAAGCAGATTGGCGAAGCAGATTGGCGAAGAAGATTGGCGATGAAGATTGGCGAAGAAGATTGGCGATGAAGGTTGGCGAGGCGATGAAGATTGGCGAGGAAGGAAGCAAGGAGGAAGGAAGGAAGGAAGGAAGGAAGGAAGGAAGGAAGGAAGGAAGGAGGAAGAACAACTGTGAAAAAATCTAACAACCCTCACCTGGCAGGTGGGGAACAAACACAATCCACAGCAAGCTCAGTCTGATTGATGGCTCGTTTTGTGAATGGCTGATTAAGATTACAAAAGCCTCTCGAGGTCCTTTTCGCTGGGATCTTCAAGGGGCAGGCCTTGTGACCCTTGTGACTGCTGCCGCTGCTGTGCCGCCAGCGGCCACGGTCCAAACCTCTGGGCCTTCCGACCGCCAGCGGCCACGGTGCCCTGGCGCGAAGTGAAACCAAGCCCACGGTGCCCTGGCGCCATCCTTCAACAAAAAGGGAGGAAGGAACCAAGAGAAAAGCAAAAAAAACAACAATGGAATTGCAAACGGATCCTTTTTTCAGAGATATCCTCCCAAAAAAGTAAAGTTTGTGAATGTGTTGTGGCTTACTGGCAAGGCTTCCTCGAGGTGACGCCAGATTGGACATGATCTTAGGTGGCTTTTGTGATGACCCTGTTTGGACGTATGATGTCAGAATTTTGGGGATAGAGGAATAGAGGATTGCGGCATTCCCCGTTGTGGCAAACCAATATAATTTAATCTAAGACCCAACCAACTTGGGCCCGCCATGATTAAACCCCCAGACGCATGATCTGAATCGCACACCACTGTAGCAGTCACCAATACACCCAGACAGCAAAACATTCACAGGCACGTTATGCAGATTCAAAGTCAAAACAAATCGACTTCATCATATTTGATCCATCCACTGTCGTCCAACCAAAGATGTTGGGCAACCCAAATGGTGTTTCACTTTCTACACGCTTCAACTGTCAGGATCTCAATGACATGTTCATCCATGTTGGTGTGAGCCTGAACCGCCTCATGGACTTGCCAATGGCATCAGCCAGATGGAATTCCCCAAAAGGAAGATCGGGCTTCGGTTTTCTACAACAATATGATGGAACGATGGAACAAATCGAACAAATCCCTTCCACGGGACCAAGCCGGGCCCCATCTCAAGTGGTCAAAACTGTTGGAGGAAAAAACGCCAACGGACCACCTCAATCCCAGCACCCAAAGCATCTCGGGTGCGTCGCGTGAAAACGCCATCCACACTCGCACCCGACTTTCGCACCAATCGGAGACAATCCGAAGGCAAGACCGTCGCCCCCCCCTATCACGCGGTTCTTTTACTTTTAGCCCGCTCGGCTAGTAGCTTAAGTAAACTACTAGCGTCCTCTCACGCTTCTTCAAGCAAAGCTTCCTTGAAGAAGCGCTCGCACTATTTCCACGTCGCCACAGAGGACGGACCATCGACCCATCGGTCGCCTCGGTTTGCTCCGGCGTCGCTTGATGCGAGGCTGCACCTGGGACGTCGTGCCAAAGCGAAAAAGGACCGTCTTGCGACCGTTTTCGCAGGGTCCGTGCCGGTGGCGCTTTGGTTGAAGGATCCAAAACCTCAAGGGTTTTGTCAAGTGTACGATTTGAGATACATGAACGTCGCAACTAGAAGAATTCCGCATGGCTCCCGGCACTGAAGATACTAACTTCAATGCCTAATTCATAAGTGCCTCGCCTTCTCCACACAACTCCTCGAAGTGTGCTTGGTAAAGCATTTTTGAAGAATGGGAACATCTTGCCAGTGACCTGTCTTCCATGTGATCTGGCAGGGCATGCCTTTCCATCAGAAGTCATAGGAACATTGGCAAATTATGTGTATATATATATTACATAATACCTACATACGTATATCTTATGTCACCTGCATGGGCAGGTACTGTGTTGCTTGACTTGTGCAACAAACGGTGTCATCATCGACAGTTATCGATGGGAGCACACGGTTCAGCTAAACCAAGGTTCATTGTTCAGAAACACACGTGGGTTCCCCCTCAAAATAAACATACCAACAACTGATTGTACCACAAAAAAAGCTCCACGTTCCACCCCCGACGACTTCACCTCTGCGAGACGAGAGCCCAAGAGCGCTGTGGCCGTGGCGGGGCCGAACCTGGGCACTGAACGGGTCGAGCGGCGGTTGAACCTTCCTAGATCCTAGTAGCATGCGATCGCTCCTATAGTACGGCCAGGAGCTACGTTCGGTTTCGTCCGATCGCGCTTCTTGTTGTTGGTGAATCCAAATGCAAAGCTGGCCTGGCTTGTTCAGTGGAGGTTCACATCCAATCCGGCACTCCAGGAACGTCTGTTCACCGAAAGAGCCGGAAAACAATGGCGCAGAGTGGGTTGGGGGAAGGTTGGAGTGGTCTAGACACTCGACTTGCCGGTTGTGACGTAGGAAAGGCTGAAGGTTGTCCTGCCGCCAAATGCCACAACAACTGATCAACCTGCGTATATGATCATCATATTACATCAGCTTGTGTTCCAGCTTTCCCTTGAGCAGCAAGGCGATGGGCATTTAACCTGTACGCATGATCTTTATGGAATCTGATCATGTCTGATCCATTGCCCTTCGGGGTTGCCCGGAGCCCGGTTGCATGCAAGCAGCTCTGCTGTATGAGTTCCCCTTCCAATAAACCGAAATCGGGTGGAAAAAGATGGTCATGTTCCCAAGAAAAACATGTCAAAGCCAGCGCAAGTGCGCCAACAGCCTGTCATCTCATGTCAATTGCTTCACCATCGTCCACTTCTCCTTCGGGCACCCAGCATCTTCTCGACTGCCTTGAAGGTGTATTCGTTGGGCTGCACCCTACGGCCACTTGTGGCACCGTGATGTCAACGGTTCCAAATGTTGAAGGATTGATGATCTGATGTCAGTACGTGCTTGAAGCTGCCATTGCAGTCGGAGTCATGGTTAGGTCCAGTCTCTTGCGAGGTAATACTCTCAACATGACGAACAAACCGCACTGCAAAACACCTCGGCTTCTTTACACCATTTTACGCCGACAACCTTCCACCTGCACAAATGGCACTGTGGTGCTAAGTCCAAGCAAAGCGACCCCATGTAGCATGGGCAGCAAAAGGTCGGAGAACGGGGTCGCAGAATGTCGCACATCTGCTGAAACGGTGACCCGTTCATGAAAGAATTGAATTTCGGTTTACCGTGATCTATCTAGTCTGGTCTATTCTTCTGTACATGTTATCACACACTTGGCACATGACCAACCCAAAAACACCAACGAATAAGAGGCATGAAGCGGTTCCCAGCTGCGTCATCCCACCTGGCAGCTCGCATCTCTCGGAGGCTTTTCTTGGCCAAAGCCAAGGCCTTCGAAGCTCCAGTGAGTTTGAGACCAGTTCTGGCGAGTCGAACGGTCTGAACGCTGAAAAACGCTGAAAAACGATACATGCCGCATGCCTCAATGATTCTCATCTCTGATACTCTTCATTATCTTCTCTCATCGACTCATCGCTCGTGTCATCTTTCACTTCTGATCCCTCATCTCCTGCCCCTCCTCTTTCACAATATGTGCGATCTCAGATCAAATTCCCCTATCATCTGTCATCTCTCATTCCTTCTCTAACATCCACTCTGTCATCTCCTCACATCATGCCATCTATCATCTCTCCTCCTTCTCATTGCTCCTATTTCCTTTGCTGGATTCCCTCCAATGCTGGTGCAAAAAAAACGCGTCTGCCCCACAGATCTGCCGTGCCTCCTGCGTTCCGTTGGCCGCACAGGCCCCCAGCAATGAGGTCCAGGCCAAAATGTTGGGCCTGAGGTCCGCGCGACGGAGATTCGCACGACGACCTTGTGTGGCGGAATCGACGGATTCGCAAGGCTCTTCTCCGACATCCAATCGGAAGGTAGCTATTTCCACGACCATCCGAGCAACTGTCAACACTTCAAACATATTGATCCAGACCACGAGTCTGTTGCACTGTCACTGTCACAACATGTCACAACTGTGGGTGGTTGCTCAAGTGTTCATCTTGCAGGCGTCATACGGTCTCACTTTTGAATCCGTAGTTTGTCCAATCTCATGTCGCACCGATGTTCCCGAAGGCTGCCTCATGGACTGCTGCTGCATCTGCCGGAGGTATTTCAAGGCCTCTTGTGGCTCTGCCACCTTGCCGGGCTGAGGGAGAAATGAGCACAACATGTCAAAACACCTTCATTCATCATGGTCCCCTTTGCAGTTGAATGGGTCTATAGAACAGTTTGTGTCAGACATCGTATGGGATCCACTCAAAGTCCTAACTACTCATCAAATACTAGACTTCCACCAGACAAAGAAAGACCATTGGCGCGTCCTTACCCAAACGCATGTCTTCCAAGGCCTATACTGCTTCAACATCACCTGCCAGGGGTCAACACAAGAGCAAGCTTCCCCATGTCCCACCTGCCAGGGGTCCCCCCTTCCTCGTGGTGTCCCAATGCTGCAAACACTGCACGTCGTTCGCATGTCGGTCTTTTCGGTAGGAGCTCAGCTGGGTTCGTGGAATAGCCTAGCCAATGGAAGTCCTCACGATAGTGCCGCACCACCATCGCGGTCAACGGCGCCTCCCACAACCTGACACGGTCGGGCGGCGGACACCAAGAGCATTCCAAGAATCGGGTTGCATAGATCAGAGAGATATCCACGGATATATATATATATATATACTTTTCTATATAGCGTTGACGATTGACTAGGTTCCTCAAACCATCAAGTTGCCTCAATCCTTCTACAGATGTGGCTTCTCATCAAGGAATGGTCGTCTCTGATTTTCACAGATCAACCCTTTTCGGCCTTGGACATCTAGCTTCGGGCCTTGGACAGATGTGCCTCTCACGGCCTCTGAAACGGCTGTTCTCCAGGACGAAGGTGTCCATCATACCGATGAATCGAATGAACGCACAACATCATCTGTGAGACTTCTCCCATGACCCGTAGGAGCAAAGACGCTACAGGGGCTCCTGGCATCGCTACTAGGAGCAAGGACGCTACTAGGGGCTCCTGGCCGTACTACTAGGAACAAGAAGCTACTAGGAACAAAGACTCTTTGCAAATCTTTTCACCTTCTGTGGATCTCCACTATAGTAGTGTGTTCTCTAGAATTCCATGAAATGCTTCAAGTCATCTCGAAAAATGGATCCTTGAACATCCATGAGAATTCCGTGTTGCTAAGCCTATCATCTGGTGAAGAAACCGGGCCCCCCAGAGGGCATAGGGGCCGTTTTTTGAGGAGACGATCTTCCACTTCACTGCTTCATTCAACACCATCGCTCCCACTGCGCACTAGTCTTCCACCGGCCAGGTCGGCCAATCAACACTCGGAGGTGGAGCCGAGGAGCTCAAGCCAGGGAGGAGCCGAGCAGTTTCGCCAGCTCATGGTTGCCTCCTTGAAGCCGCAGTGCTCCTTTGTGTTGCCTTCCTGGGTGAGCTGTCTTCAAGCACACACATCACACACATCCCAAAATGCTGAGTGCAACAGGCAGTGGCTAAGCTACCCACGGCAAGTGAGTTGATTGTCACTTCTCCTGTTAGAAACAGTGATTTGGGGAAGCTCATGGATCCGGAAGATCAGTTTTTCCGCGCGAACCTCCCCGCGGGTACCTCCTGGTGCTCTGGGGGTCCCGCGGGGTGTGCTATGAATCATTCCGCACTGTCGTGACAATGGACCTTACCCTGTGGATCAAAGATTTGGTTTGGGTTGAAATGCTCACTTGATCCAACCCACCTAATTAAGACACAAGACACATCAACCTACATGAGTTGCATTCCTCTGTCGTTGCTGGTCAGTTCGACGTCCGCAAAAAGCCAAACGTCACCGCTGATCGCTCCAAGCATCTACCGCGCTGTCGCGGATGTTCTTCCCTGGCAGCACCGATGGGAAGGGCGGCAGCTTCTCGCAGAAGGAGAGCCTGCCACTCAGCAACGGGTGACGCGCCACGGGTTGTCACCGAAGTGAGCGTGATTCGCGTGAGCACCATGCGAAGTGCTGTTGGTCACGAGAAACTGGACCAGCAAAGTCCACCAGGACCGACTTTGTCAACGCTGGATCTTCAATTAGATGTTGTTTGTGGTCTTTTGTCAACCAGGATCACTACAAGATCTCGCTACGCGTCTTTTTCTCAAGAGTCCGCGTGGCTCAGCACATCAGGCAAGATCAGAGTTGATGGTGTGTGTCTGCCAAAGTTTGCATCCGCCCGTTTTCAGGGAATCTCATGAAAATCCAAATCCACAAACCGAGGGTTTGTGGCTGAAAACTGTGATCTTAAGGGTCCATCATCAGCTTGCCCATGAGTTTGGGGTGTAAAATGGTCTAAGAACTTGGTCCTTGCCCCATCAACCCTCTTCCGCCTCGCTTCCTCTTCCGCCTACAGCGTATCCTTGACACCCGATACCCGGCTCCACCTCCGGCACAAGGAGTCCTCAAGCGTAAGGATGTCCTCTTGAAGTGTCTCCAAGTGTAGCACCTAGTGCAGGCGGATGTCTGTGGAACACTGACTGACTAGACTAGAGATGCGGCTTTCTGTGTCGATTGGGTGCATGGCTTCCATTTTGCCACATCATGATCACTTCCAATCGGTCCTTTATCGCATTGTAATTGAACGGATAGTAGGAAAATTGGGTCGGGTCTACCGCATGCTTCAAACATGAATCAACATCTCCAGAATAGCACGCCCACCAATTCCTCTGGACACCCGAAACTAGACTGAATCGCTTCCGAAATCCCATCGATAGCTTTGTTCGTGCGCATCCATCTGGCAGCCATTGCCTTCACCCCTTGACGTGACTTCTTTAGCCAGTGACGGAATCCAAGCCGTGGGATGGTCCTACTGAGAGGCGATCGACGGCTTAGGCGTCACGAGAAACTCCGGGAGAGCAGAAATGGTGGCCGAGGAGCAAGAACGTCCTCCATCACCGCAGGACCTGCCAAGAAGCGTTCATCCTTCACCATGTCCTGAACGCGCTTGCACGGTCAAACAGAGTGTCACATTCACATCAAATCAAACCAATTCATACAGCTACCAGGTGATCTTCAGACGTCTTAATGACAGTTGTTCTTTTAGCTATATATACATTATATACAGGTTCTGACCCAGTCGAGGTTCTTTCCTTGTATCCTATTCAATGTGATTCCCAGTCGACTTTCCAAACATCATCGACCTCCACCCATCTCCCTCAGGGCACACTCACTGGACGGAGATGGAAGACATCGTAGGCCGAAAGGGTGTAGTAGGTCGTCCGACCTCAGTCGCGTCTGAGCCAGCGTGGACGCGTGGATCGAGATGAAGGTGAACTAGGGAGATGGACGAAAAGCTTCACCCATGGAAACCAGGGTGTCTCCCTGTTACAATACACGACACCCATTAGCGGACATGGTGGGACCATCCGATTCCGGAGAGGACACCCTGCTGGTCGAAATCGCGCCAGGGTGGATTTGTGTGGGCCCATCTGAAGCGTGCTTGATGTTCGTTTCAATGCAGCCACGGTTGGCTGTTCCCTACGACCTCTTCCCTGCCGACCTCCTCCCTGCACCTTCCGCCCCAAAGAAAAAGGCACTTCGTCCAATTTGCCGTCCCATCCCCCGTGTCCTTCGTCCAGCGGCAAATCCAGGGATGTAGTGCTGTACCAGGCACCCGACTTAGGTCGGCCTGACGGAAGATGTTCCACAATCACTTGGTGTGCCAGGCGCGGACTGCTCATGTGTCCGACTGTTTTCTCACCCAAAAGATGTGGACATTGGACATCATCTTGGTGCACGCGTTCTGCAAGTTCGGGCTGAGCGGCGAGCGCTTGCAGAGTCTAGTTCTGAACAAGATTTACTGTAGTCCTTGAAAAGGATTCAAATTTTGGTCTCTTCCTGAAGTCTATGCCTGTGCGGGACATCCAAGCCAAGCAAATCTGATTGGCTTGCCTCCAAGAAATACTCAGAACGTTTACTGGTGGCCAACAATCCTAGAAACAACCAATAGTGTCAAATGATATGTCAGTCCAAGTTCAGAACTCCAAAAAAGCATCCAGTTCTCAACACGTCCACCAGATCCTTACCGGATCCTCCAGATCCTCACCGGGAGTCCTTGTTCAGAACAACGTCTTCTCAACGAGCTTCAGCTCGGGGACCCACGCAGTGATCGGCCCGACACGAACAGAACGCAACAACTCGACCGAGATGGAGCGGAACGGACTGTCATCACACATCACCTACAACCAAATGCAGTAGTCACTGTAGTCAAATCAAAACCACTTTCAGCTTTGAATAATGATGGGAGAACAAATCGAACGATTTGTTTCTTTACAATAACACCACCCAACTCACTGCTTCGCCAGTGTTCGCCAGGCAGGCGTTTGCCGAATCACCGGTGTCCCGGTGCGGTTCGCTCGCCGACCGAGTCGCCGGTGTGTCGCCTGCTTGCAGAAGTTGTGCGACTCCTGGACCTCGATCCGTCGATTCCGAGAGGATTGTTGGTGGACCACGCACCGCATGGACCACGACCCATTCCACTCTAAGTGGATTGCACCGCGAATACGCGCGACCTTAAGAGACCAATTGGGAACTATTGAAACTTGGGAATTGGATCATGTTGATCGATGTTGATCTAGTTACATGTTTAGTACCAAGCGGGATTCCGATGGATGACTAGCTTGGCCTTTTGAGCAAAGATCCTCCATGTCGAAGCCAAAATGGGAGAATGGTTTCCAAGGACCACTATATATATAGAGAGAGAGACTTTACCATGAGGGGTTATAAATAAATATATATATATACATACACACCGTATACATATTGAACATACATATATATATATATATCTAAATAATCAGTATACAGTATATATGTACTTGTTGTTAGTTATTTTTACCGACTATATACCCTGAAGTGACCAGTTCATAATTCATGTACAGTATGTTGTCGCGGTGTTTTAATGGTCTGAGCGCCCAACCCAGTCCAAGCCTCAGGCTGCTGCTGGAGGTCCAAAAAAGGAAAATGGTTGAAAACATGGAATCTGGTTGGTGAAGACACGTTTAAAGGAATCCCTCAAAAAACGATGCCGTCACTTGGGAGAACCATTCCAGGTAACGAATTGTCCAAACCCAGGAATGTGCAGTTTCAGAGTCGATTGTACAAACCCATATTCCACTCTACTAGTAGATTGGGCTTTGGTCAAAAGCGCTCTCAGAGTTCTTTGGATTTGTGCAATCTTATATATATATATACTCTCAACTCACTAATTAATACTTTCAGCGCCAAACCAATTTCTTCTAGGTACCGCCGTGCAATGAAGATGCATTGAACCTCGGCAAAAAGTTGAAACATCTGCAAGTGGGAGTCGGGAGTCCCTGTCATGCTGGGTGGGAAGCCAAAAGCATGCTGGTACGGCTTCTATGTACATAGCACGTTTCGTCAAACCTCCAAATGCGAAACTCACACAACACTGCTGAGTCTATCTGCAGAATCAAACTCCCTTGGGATGGGATGCTCTTGACCTCAGTGTTTGGTGGCCTAACAAAATTGTCAGCCAAATGGAAGGGTCCTGCGATGTAGAAGCACAGTCTGTACCCTCCCAAAACGAATTGACCATAAGGATGCTGGGAAGCAGTAGGTCAGGAATTCCTTCCAAGGCCCTTCCCTGATGCACCCAAAAATCCCATGGACGTGTGAATTGTGAACACATCAAAAGCTCTTGAAGTTCACATCAAATCATCGAATCCTTCTCTCAAAATCACATATCTTCTCCAAACCACCACTCCAAACCATCCTCAAGAAGCCCATCGATCACACTCCACCCCTAGCCTGCTAGGTCTCCCCACCATTCGCAAACAGCCCTGGCTTGGAATCGCGGACCCGCAACACAAACCTGATGGAGAACGCCGACACGCGTTCTCCGCCGCAGCCGTCCGCGAGATCGGAACGCGGCTCGAAGGTTCCGCGGTGCGAGGACCAACCGAGGTTCACCGGTTTCTCGAACGAACCGGTTCGAACGAGGCGGTGGGAGGCGTCCCGGACGTGGGGAGGGAGGGGAGGGCGTGACGAGGGGCACTGAATTGAGACAGTTGTCCAATGCAAAAGTGGCTCGAACCTGTCAGAAGTAGTTTGAGCTTGGTGTCAGTAAAAAAGCACAAAAAATTATTAACATGGCTGCAAACTGTCCCCCACAAATTGAAGCCCGAAAAGTGTGGAGACTCATGAGGTGAGTTCATGCCAGTGGCCCACTTTGGCTTCATCCGATCTCCGAACTCGCGACAAAAACGGCCGCGGTCGCCCGGTTGTTCATCGCCCAGGGGGCTGATAATAATCAGCAAAGCCGGACCAGCTGGTCCTCAACATGCGCACCGGTGAAAGAGAGCGGGTTCCCCCAATGAAAAACGTCTGGTGATCCATCGAAGACGGCCACTGCAGTATGCAGTATGCCACCGGACTCATGGGACGCAACAAAAACACCAACAGAACATGCACTTTTTGGTACATTGTCTTGTAGGCGCTGCGCTTTACGGCACCGTGCGCTTGAAAGTGAAAGTGAAAGTGACATTGTCTTGTTTTGTTGGTATAACGCTTCATGCACTGGTCTTGCCAGTAGCCTCAAAGAAATGAATGCACATACATCCAAATACTCTACTCTTTAGGAACCTGTTCTCGGACTCTCTTCTCGGTCACTCGGTCACAGCAACTCCCCAAATGAACATGGTGAGCACTGCGCTGGCAACGTGGATGATGGTTAGCAAGTGTCTAATGATTGCCTAAACCAAGCGTGAAAAAAGGGCGTGATCGACTTGGAACCCTTGGGGCGTGACAAAAGCAGTCCAACTAACCTTGTTTCAAAAGACTCAACGGTGAAGCATTCAGCATGGCACCTCACCCGAATCAATGTTATCTCGCAGTCTCAAAAGAACCCCCATGTGCTTCATCACTGCACCAGAGAGTAAAACCAAAGACTCCTGAGAAAGGAAGCTTCAACTCGTGGGTGGTCATGGGCGATTGACATAGAAAGCATAAGAAAAACGTGTATATATATATATAAACAACAAAAGACTTGAAAGGGCCTTGTTCAAGGGACCCTTACTTTCTTGTTGTTCCATTCTTTTCTTGTTTCTTTGGTCGATGGAAAACCCCGTGGTGATGAGCACCCCGCCGCGACGCCGGGGTCGGCTCTGGACATCTCTGCGGACTTGGCTGGGGTGAATCAATTAATGAACATCTCAATCAAAAGTGAACCATTCAATTCAAGAATTCAAGACTAGACCGATCCATTCAATAGTCAATCACATCTCTGTGATCCGCTCTTGAATTCCTAGGGCGATCTTTTCATGCGGTCGACCGTTGATTCCATGCCCATCTTTCCTCCAGGCGTCCACTTGTGGCTGCCCCAGTATGCGTTGTTTAGCCAGGAAAAGCGGAAGTAGGACATGAGCCTGACCGACGCGACCAGTTGGCGGGCAGGACTGACAAAAAAACGCGACCTCACCCCTGCGAACTACTCGGGTGTGAACTACTCGCAGGAAAGCCCCTGACTCAGACTCAGGTTCCCAGTCTACGGTGTTAAACAGGCGAAGGGTCTGGGATCAAATGGAGGATTGATCCACACAACGAATGATTTCTTGCGGAAACATGGAAGGACACACCTGGAACTGCGGGGTAAGGTCAGAAATCGGACAGCCCTTATTTATGTGTACCACTGCACGAACCCGGAACCGCCATGCAAAGCTTCTAGCCTCAAAGTAGAAAGAGAGCGGCAAAACCTCAGACCAGAGATTCAAAAGAAAAAAACCTTCTGAAAAAACATTGGGACCAAAGGCCTCAAAAAACCCGCTTCTTCTCTGAGAAGTCTCTCGATTGGAGCCACCTCCCTCCCGAGGCCCTCGCCTGACGAACGGATTGCGGGCCAGCACCACGTGCTGTCGCTGCCGGCCATAGAGGCAACACAACCTCAGACCACAAAATGAATATGCTTGAACTCCAAGGCACACTGTAGCAGCTTGTTTAAGCAAAAAACCTGTCAAACTGTACCAAGTTGTCTGGTCAACATGCTACGCAGAGAACGGTTGTACGAATGGTAGTGACACATCCCTTCTTCGCCCCGCACCGTGGCTCTCGGGGTGCGGGGTCTTTCACCCAAAGGCTGCAAGGCGGCAAAACCTGGTGAAACAAATGTGAAACATAGATCAAAACAATACAAATCATTTTTGAAAAAGACATTCCTAGTATTCCCTAGTCGTCTTTAGACCATCTGAATCATTGATCACTATATACCTCATCCTACTTCTACCTATGACTCAGTGACTGGGCCGTGCCAAACCGATCCACATCCAAACTTCAAGTCACGGGCAGAGGTGCGCCGGCGGCAGGAACTCCCGTTCCACCGTGACAGAGGGATCATAGCCTTCCTGATGAAGGGAAGAGACGGTCGTGCTGCGGAGCGAGGCAACTTCCGCGGAGAAAGGGGCGGCATACGGCGTCTCTTGGCTCATACGGCGTCTCGGCAGCTTGAACAAAATGATGTGACTATTGACACCCTGCTTCACAGAAATATATGAATGTAGTGTTGATAAGACTCTAACAACCAGAGAAAATCTGAATCTAGTCTACACCCCGAGCGCGCATTCAATCCATGTTCACCCACATGAAAACGCACAAAGAAAAATAAACACTTCTCCATGCGGCCAAGCCCGGCTTGTAGCGGTGCAGTGCCCTGTACCTCGTGTCCAGCCGCTGTGCTTTATAAAACTCACCGAGGTTTTGCTAGGAGCGCTTGCAAGGAGCTCCGGAGAAGGACTAAGGCCCTTGGTATATAGGTGTTTCCCACGTGAGGAGCTGGGGGGGGGGCAGAACAAATGCTCTACCATTCCAAACAGCTTTGCTGTGACGATCCTGGGCCAAAATGATTTCTGACCATTTGTCCCCTTTGTTTCCCTTTGTCTGCCGAGGATGCTGGGCTGAGACGATTTAGCTTTGTCTCTCTGTGTCTTCCATAGCTCTTCTTGGATGTTCAAACCAAATCTTTAAAACTTCTTATTGAATTGGGAATTACCCGGCTTGACCGCTATGCTTTTGGGCACTGCAGGCCAAATTTACAAAAAGAAACATCAAGCTGCCGCTGCTCTTCGCGCGTCTTCTCTGAAAAAAAAGACGTCGCTCTTCGCTGAAGGCACCAGCAGAACCGGGCAGAACACCAAGCAGAACCGCAAGAGACTGAGGAAAAGTAAGAGACAAATATAGTAGGGAATGAGGGAATAAGCCCCCAACAGAGATTTCTTTGATCCATTCCTTCATTCGCTAATTACTAAGCATGAGTCAGGCAAGAATACCAAAACACCAACCTTGGCACCATCGAAGCTTTTGTCTCTCTGTGTAAAGGGGCTTGCAGCGTCGTGTCTCAACGATGATTGACGGGGTTGCGCCGTGGTTGGTGAATCCGATGGGTGAGCCCGCCGTGGATTCCACAGTGTTCACACGGTTCACGTCTTCTTGTTCAAAAACGAGTCCTCCTTGATCAACAAGTGAGACCAACCAGAGCATGGTATTCTTCGCCATGCTGCATGAGTAGGCTGGCGAAGTCTTTGTCCAAAAGTTTCTCCTCCCTCAGTGAATTTGGCCACAGAAGAAATGGAAGTTCGGATGAGTTCGGATGATTTCCATCAAGGAGAGTGCCCGATTGAACAAATCAACTCAGTCCGGGACTTGATGAAGACCAAACAGGTGGATTTGCGTCCCCATGTCCATCTCCAGCCTACAAAGCTCTGGGACTGCAGACCATGTCATCATTTCACGAATGAACCGCACTTGCTTAAAGCAAATATCCAAAGTTGGGGCACCAAATTGCGCAGAATCTATCCGTGAAAGTGGATCATATCCCAGCCCTAACTTACCATATGGTTGCTCGAGTGCTTCATATGCATACACTGTATAGAGATATGTATTGATATGGTATGAACTGACATCGTTCTCAAAATCGGGTTCGCCTCCAATCGACCCAGTTCACTTCCATGACCCCTTCCGGCCACAGAGGGGATCTTCACGAAGAAGGTCCCCTCTCACTCGAGAGGAGACCTTTCCACTCCATCTACCAATTGGTGACGTTCCCTCTGAAGAAAACAAAACATTCAGTCGCAGACCTAAAGTGATCCAATCGCCCAACAATTATCAGGAACCAATCCGTCACGAACTCTTCCCAAGTGGCGGAATCTTCCCCTTCGAGGCCACGAACTCCAGCTGCCGCTTCACCGCCTGGGAGAACTCCCCAGGGCCTGCGCGAACGGCGCAGGCCCAACGCTGCGCCAGATCCGTCGCTTGGATCCGTCGCTTTGGCGGTTCGCCGGATCCGTCGAGCTACCGAATGCAACAGGTCGGAGATCGACGGATGCGGAGATTCGCAGGGCTGCTAGAAAGGTGGAAGATTTGATCAATGTGAGGTTTGGTTTCCAGAGAGAGGGTGAGAGATGTTTCTGCTCGAAGGAACTATGTGATCAAGTTGAATCTTTTTGAGGGGAATGCTGCAGTGGTGGGGGGGCCTGAGAGAAGATTGAACAGTTGAGGCATCAAGGAGTTAGAGCTCTTCTGCTTAGAACTTTTGGGAGTTTAGAGATCACTATGTTTGGCAAGTTTTAGCTGCTTAGCTTGTGCAGGGTGGGGCACAGGAATGTCGGAATGCTCCTCATCTCCCATCCTAGAGTCCTAGAGCTCCGGTTTGGATCAAAGACCCGGAGCTCGGACGGTCACAGGACTGCGCCCCCCTGCCTGCATGGTGCAAGAAGGCTTTCCCTGTCTGGTAGATACTCCGGACCTGCTCCAATCCTCGGACGGAAGACTGAGACTGCCAGCCCGAAGCTCTGTCCTCGCAACACAAAGCTGGTCTCTCTCTCTCTATAATATAGATCCCCTCCAAAAGAAGGTCCTATCCTCCCACGTAACCAGGGTTTGCTTTTGATCCGGTGTGAAGAGAGGCTCGACATTTGAGCTGTCAGAAAGTGATGCCAGCAACACTGCAAATATGGTCGTGGGGCAGTCATTGCATTGAAATTCGGAATGCCATGGAATACCTAGAATTTAAGCCTCATTGCTTTCACCTGGAAGACGTGTTCGAGGAAACCAACTTTGCAGCATGTGTCTTTGGTAGTGGCGCTCCCATGTGCCATGTGGATATGTTGCCGCTGCCACAGTGACCTATTTTGGGGGAATGGTTCTGTTGTCCAAATACTGTTCCCATGCCTGTGGCGGCCACACCAATTTTCCTGCCCATTCCGCGCCTTCCATCTGCAAGACCCAGTTGATGGTCGATGTGGTCCCGCACTTGGGCACCTTGGGGAAGATCTCGGAACGATGGGCTGGGCAAATGGTCTGGCATACGGCATTCTTTTTCAGTGTCCCTCTTTTTCAGTGTCCCATGGGACGTTTGGTGTTCTGAATTGTGCCGATTTACGTAAAATTGACCCTAATGGGCCCTCATAGTTTAATTGGCGAATGAAACCCTGCAATCGTCCCTTAAAAGTCTATTTCAGCCATCATCTCTGAACCGAAAACGCAACGGCAGAAACATGATTGGACACCTGGGTGGCAAAAGACCTCCTGGGTTGAAACGGTGCAATGAGCTTGAAAATATTCCCCCCCAGTCCTTGGAATCCTGGAAATGACGTCTCGAGACCATGTCCAGGCCACGTCTTCATCCGGTCCATCCACATCGCACACCGCTGACCCCACGCCCCGGTCCTGCTGTTTCTGCCGCGTCTGGGACCTCCGCTCCTCTGCTCCGCTCCAAGGGGCTGTGAGAATCGCCAGTGGCACGTGCTTGGGACAATGGAAGAGTTGGACCTTCACCGGCCAAGCCTCCGACGAGGGCGTCCTGTCGCGCGACGCGTATTTATGAACGCAGAGCGCGTGGCTCGCGGATCGCGCTCTAGGAAAAAGGGGGGGCCCCGCGACCGGGTGAGTGGTTGTTGTGACGTGCGAAGGCAGTGGGAATTCCTGGAGAATCAAGCGCTGTCCGGTTTTGACATCATCATAAGGTGGGCATCTTGATCAACTGAAACAAGTCAACTGGGATATACTGGGATTCATTTCTGAAAGCAACCAAGGAGGTTTCCTAGCAAACGGTGTCCCTTGCAAGTTTGACCAATTTGTTTGTGCACTGCCAGGTTGGCGGAAAATCAGTTCCATCCAGCATGAAGCAAACATCCTGACCCTCAAAGACCAAACCAATGAAGTTCTCTTACGTACCACTGGGAAGTCCACGAACTTGCAGTCATAGTTGGCACAAAAAACCTTCAAGATGGACCCTGGCCCCGCACAGATCTGGTACATGTGAATTCATGTGGTCCGGTTGGGTGCATTCTCTCCTGAAATTCCATGCTACGCCTCGAAGAGATTGGCATCGCCCCTTGGGGGAAAATGCTTGACGGCGGTCCACATCACAGTATTTTGATGCCACGGACCGGCAGAAGCTTGTCACACGTTTCGGGCCGGGAACCAACAGACTCTGATCTTCTCCATGTTGAATCGATCGATCTACGAGCCTTACGTGCTTGAAACCACATGGCACGAGGCTAGAAACGACATCATCCCCATGGCAAAGCGTTTTCACCTATCCCAAATCACACGAGCAAATCCCACATCATCCCACATCGGCACGTCTGCTTCAATTCTTTGCTGGAAGCGCCCTAGGTCCACAACACAAACTATGGTTTGCTTGCGTTTTGCCGTCTCTGGCGTGTCTGTTTTCCTATCTTTCCAGGACTGTGAAGGAAATATTTCCGACTGCCACCTGCCAGTATGTGAACATGAACGCTTTAAAGCATGAACTCTGCAAATCACTTCTTGCTGGGGGGGCTCTGTCAGGCAGGCATCATTAATTATGGTGGCACCGGAGCCGCGCCGGCTTCAAGCCAAAGCAAAGAAACACATGAATGACATCCAAGCACGACCTCAATATCTCCAAGGAAAAGGTGTCCATCTCGGGTTGAAATTACACCACCTCTCTCGGTGGCCTTGTTTCTTTGTAAGGACATTGTTGTTTCAACCAACCCTGAGTTTCGATATGAGATCATGAGCGAGATTCGGAGTACACACAGGTACCCAGCATCCATCCATCCCTTCCTCCCTCCCTCCCATCCATCCATCCATCCATCCCGTCCATCCGTCCATCTCTATATTATGTATGTATAGATATATATATATATATATTTATGCTCAAGTGAGTCCTTTTTTGTGACCACACAACCGGAGTTTGC